TAACATAATTATTTAAGGGCAAACAACACTGGATTTTCTAGAGAGAACAACGTATTGAAGTTAAACATGCTTTAGTGAAATCAATGCTTTCTGGCCTGCTTGTTTTTAATAGCTGAAAACAGCAGAAGAGTTTCTGAGGCTGCTGGATTTGTGTACTTGGTAGGTGATTGGCATTCCTTTAACGTGGTTTTGTGCCTGTGCTTTAAGCTGCATGGTGAACTAATCATTCTTCCTTTGAACAATATACTTGTTTTACCTCTGAAAATTTTTGAGCTAAACAGCTAGTCCCATAGATTTATCCAGTAGTTAAATTCCAGTGGAAGTTGTTACTGCTGATAACATGGACTACTTTCTCTATTTCTGACTGCTAGGAGGAAAATACCGACTATTTCATTCAAGTAACACTCGGAATGATGCACTGTCTTGCAGTGCTATGTTTTGTAATTTTTGCATGTTTTCAAGTGTACCAACTAATACGCTTACAGCGAAGAACAGGATATGAATGACTTCATGACAGGTTCCGATACACATTTTTTGAAGTGTAGTATTTTATTCCGTTACACAAGAGTAAATGAATTATCTTGTTCCTAGCTGATGTGGCGGTGCTGATCATCCCCATTTTCCACCTCTCATTTTTGCCACTCTGGAGATCCGTGGTTCTTGCTTTTCAGGGAATCTGTGTAAGGTGAGGTGGCTCTGTACTTCTCAGGTGCTCCTCTTAGGATGGCACAGCAGGCGAATGTGCAAGATGCACGTGTTTCTGCAATTCTTAGCTTTGTGTTGGAAATTTGAGCATATCTCTATGTGTATGTTTTAGCCTACTGCATCTTGACGAATTTGCTTTACAACAAAAATGGGTGGGGTGGTTCCTCCCCATGCCTTTGCTTTTTCTGTTGGCCTTACCTCAGCTGCACGTGGCCCCATGGGTGTCCACTGGAGCTGTGCTGCATGTGTCGGTTTGCTCCGTAGCTGAGGTTTCCTTAGGCGAGAAACTTGGGCCTGGGATGTCAGACCTGTGCAGCTATGCACACTTTTTTTGATTTGTTTTGGGTTTGGTTTTTGTGTGTGTGTGTCAGGAAGCCACGTTTTACTCTTAGGCTCCATATATATCTGGCCCCAAAATATAAACAAATTCACAAACTTTTCAAATGAACAAATAGATTTGAAACCTTCACCAGTCTGGCAGTATTGTCCACTCCCTGCTGGGAAAAGAGGAAGACGGGTTATATCTTAAATTGAATGGAACGAGGGGATTTTGCAGAGGGTGCATGTGCATACTTAGATGTAGGTGAGCTGTTGAAGGACTTAAGTGCTGGACATACAGTAGAATCAGCATTTCTGGTACCTGCTAACTGCTGGCATTACCTTCTTCCCCTGTGATTACAGTGTATGTCCACATGTAAACCCTTTGAGAGTTGCTACCACTTATTAATTTTTAAATACATCACAACCTGTGAATTGCATCCATAGGGAAGAACTTGGTTTATTTAAGAGCATGCACCTTGAGAGATTGTACAATATATTAATAGTAAATGTATCCATTTCAGATTGCATCCATGTTTGCTGTCTGTTTGATCTTCTGTGCTCTTTTTTGCTGGCTTTTGTCTGCAGGAGTGCAAAAAGAAAAAAAAGTTGATCTCACTTTACAAGAGAGCAATCTATTACAAACTGTGTCCAAGATTCCCAGTGGAGTTTGAGGATTCATTGAGCTAGGTGCTATTGCACTCGTTAAGACCAGATTTTATCATCTGATAGGGTGAATATGGCCTAATTCAAACAGAATTACAACTGTCCTTTGCCTCCGCTTTTCTGTTAAGATGGGCTGTTCTACAGAAACAACCCAAGGCTCAATAGCAACCAGTAGTACCCTTGGTATGGCTCATTCATTAAAGCAAGGTTATTTATTTTCTGTTAGGAGCAGAGAAAGCAGCTGAGGATCAAAGCAAACATCACTTAATACAATTTATCATTGAAATCAACAGTGTGTCTGCTAATTTTTATTTTATTTTTATTTTTTAGATTATCCTTAAAGTAATTTGGTTCAATCTGGTTGATTTATTTATTTACAAGCTTGGAACCAAAAAGTTAAAATAGCAGTATCAGAGGGAATAAGTTGAAACTACCCAAGTTTGGGGAGCAAAGTGCAAATTACTCCTGAAATAGTGAGACTAAGTTTATTATCTGACTAAATGAGATAACAAGGAATCTATCCTCTTTCTCTAGACCGGTGTTGTCTAATTAGCTTTTTGGGTGGAATATATGGTAAAAGGATGGCTGGTTTATTCTGTTTATTGGAGCTTTTCATTATATTGTTGGGAATATTCAAGACTTCCCCCTCAAGTCCATGTGAAGCTTTATGTATAAGCTAATAGTACGAGATGGCCTTTCTTCGTCCTTCAGATGGAAATATCTAGACAGTATGCCTTCCTTGCTGGGTGTAGTCCCTTCAGCTGAGAGCTGTTGTGTTATTGCAGTAAAAGTTTCATTGTGTGTGTAAAACAGCCATAGTGGAGGATGCAATATAACGTGTCTATTTTAATTTGCAGGTTTCCACACTGTTGTGGTCCTTTGGGTTTTTTTTTTTTTTTTCTTGAAATGGTAGGGCTAGGAAACAGCTGCCGAGGGATGAAGTCTCCACCTCTCCTCGTGGCTGCGCTCATGGCGTGCATCATTGTTTTGGGTTTCAATTACTGGATTGCAAGTTCTCGCAGCGTGGATCTGCAGGTAACTTTCCTATTGCTCTGCATATCATCTTGTACTTGTGTGTTTAATAAACATAGTGCACAACAAGAAGGATGCTTCCCCTGCATGTGGTGGGCCAGGAGCTTCAGCTTGTCGTAGGAATTTTCACAAATATTGCAATTGTTGCTTGTCAGTAGTGGGAGATGGAGGGAATGGAATGAATGCCTATTTGTAGGTGAGGGGGACCCAAAACTTGAAGACCTGCTTGTATGGTACTTGTTAGTTCTGCTCACACAAAGCGAACTTTGTGCTTTGTGAACTTACCTTGTGCTGTTTCAGTTTACAGATGTGGCAAATGCCATCCTCTTGTTTTTCTTCCTAAGTGTACATTGAGACTGGCTCTCCATTTTTAATCTGAATGGGCATCTGCAGTTTGCTCATATCCCTAGATTTTTTTTCTTACATGACCCATAAGGATGTATGCATGCTTTCCCACCAAGTACAAGGAAATCTAGCTTGTTCAGAAACAGTGTCTAAAAATCTGAATTTGTGTTTCTTAGAAACCTTCCCTAAAGAGGGCATGCAACTTACATGGAATAATTACCTTGTCTGCTATTTTTCTAGTGGTAGCTGTATTGTCTGTGATGGTTGAGCTTGGGTTTTAAACCTTTCTGGAGCATGTGTTCTGAAGTTGAGGAGTACGTGAATAAAGTTACTGATTTGTGACAATGTGTGGGTTCTTCGTTTTGTTTTTTGTTTGTTTGTTTGTTTTTAACAAGCAAACCTAAAAACTAACAACCTGATGATTAAACATGGCTGATGAGAGCTCCTCCCAAGTTTTTCCACGGAATTTGTATCCTCTTTGTAACTGAGCTGCACTTTAGTACTGAATTGACAGCTGTAGGAATTGAACTCCTGTTTCACCTCAGAGTGGGCACTATTCAGACAGGACACGTGTCTCTGGCCATGCGGTTAAGGGTATATCTTAGCTTACCCTTGGTGGAGGGTATGATGCCCTGTCTTCTGGGACTCTGGTCATCCCTTGTTTTCCCTTTAATCAGTGGCCTCAGGATGGTGGCTAGCAGCAGGTAGTGACTGTGTCAGTACTGCTGAAGCTTTGCTGCGCGGCCATGAGGCAGCTGATAGCGAGGAAAATAAGCTACCATACTAGCTTATTCTTGATCTCAATAACCTAGAGACATAAGGTCCTCTTTACTGTTACTGATTTACTATATAATCTTGTACCTTTCTCCCAAAGTTAGCTTGAAAGTTGTTTCACTTCTGCGTAGTCGTGCACTCTGAATGAAATAAAAGCATAGCCAAAGGCACGGATGGAGCTTCTAAAGCACTGTGTCAGCCTGTTCGTTTGTTGGCAAGACTTTGCAGCTATTATGACTGAAATGGAATAAGTGCTTTTCTTTGCTCCTCCAGCTAAACTGCAAGTGGTTCCCCCCCCACCCCCCCAGCCTTTTCCCCCTTGCCTCTTCTCCGTTCTCTCACTTTCTGTGGCAGAGAAGCAGAGTAGGCAGGCAGTAATACACAGCATACTGTGGTATAAGAAGATATTGTCCATTTTCTTGGAGTCTTGGAGATGCACAGTTTTTATTCTATTTTTTAATCCACATGGAATCCCCAGGTCTTTCTACCAGGGTAAATTCTGTTGGTATTCCCCCGCCCCCCACCTGTCTTTGTACCCTTCCTTGCTGCCGAAGGGCGATTTTAACCCAAAATGTTTAAAAACAATGTCCGGCAAAACTAAATTGGTACTTTAAAAAAAAAAAGGGGGGGGGGAGGAAAAAAGAAAGCTGTGGTAGCATCAGGCTTGATTTCTTACCTTATGTCTCTGTGTTTATGTGTGCAGTATGTGATGGTGTTGAATTTTCCTCTGATTGTCACTGCTTTTTGAGCAATCAAGAAGAACGATGATTTTCTGCTTATAAATGAGTTTTTCTCATATGTGTCTTTGTGTAACAGCTGTATGTCAGTTGTTTATGTGAAAGTTAGGCAGTGTTGTCCTCCTTCTATTCTTTCCCATGTCTTCCAGGAAAATGTATTGATTTGAGAGATGAGTTTTCCCTCTGAGTTAGTTTAGGATCAACACTGGGAAGTACAGTGATATTGGAATTGTCTAGATCAAATTTAAAAAATAATTTGACCTTGTACTTCAGAAAGATTGAAGACTGCAATCTTTTTTTATGGTGGGTTTTTTTGTGTGGGTGTTCTTTTTTTTTTTTTTAAGCTCAAGTGCTGAGGCAGCTTTACATTTCTCTTATCTTTAACTGAAATTTTGATAGTCTCTACAGAATATGCTGTACTGGTAATTTACATAAAACCGGGGGTTTTGTGTGTCTGTGTATGTGGCAGGTATCACTGGCTGACATAATACTTTGATGGCATTAGCATTGTTAGTTCTGTGAAATTTGGTACTCCTTGAATGTATCGGCGAGGAGTCCGGCAAGGGGGAAGCATTTCTATTTGCTTTGGCTAATTTGCTCTTCCTTAGGGTCGGATCATGGATCTGGAAGGTAAAGTCCGCAGGGCAGCAGCAGAGAGGGGAGCCGTGGAACTCAAAAAGAATGAATTCCAAGGGGAGCTAGAGAAGCAGCGAGAGCAGATTGACAAAATCCAGTCCTTGCACAGCTTTCAGATGGAAAATGCCAACAGAGTACATCAGGAAGAGAAGGTAAGGCCTTTTCTAGCCACAGCTTTCTGTGAGACTGGTTTACCAAGACACTCTGCAACAGAATAAGGTCGCTCAAATGTTCCAGCTGATGGGCATACAGTCAGTGTTGGTGTGGCAAAACGTTTAATTTATGTATCATTGTATAGTACTTAGAAAGTAGACATTGAATGGACATTATAGCATTCATTGTATAATATGTGAAATATTAGAAGCTGCAAGTAACAGCACTTCTGAAAAAAGCCTCTACCCCCTCTACAAATCATTGTTGCCAACCTTGGGTTGGCCTCTGGCTTTCTTGTATGCTAATGTTTTCAAACTTAAGGAAAAGAAGAAGCTGCACCAACAGATATATTTGTATTCCCAAATATATTTCTATACATTTCTAGGCATAAATGGTTGACGTTTATTTCTAAACGCATTACAAATTTTGTGGCACCTTGAACTTCTGCCTCCAAAACCCAGTAGCACTGGGACACATCATAAGGTTTGACTAGCCTTTCATAGCAGTGCTCTTGACAGTGCAGCATTGCTAGAGGGATGGAAGTCTTTTGTGAAGAGTGTGAACGTACCTGCTTAAATAGCAGTGTGTATGATTACTGTTGTGTAGTATCTTGCAAACTGTTTTGTTGTGTATTTTCCTCATGTTGCTGATAACCACCTCGGAAGTGGCTGTTAGCCATTAATACCACTTTTCTCACTGTTGCCAGAAGTATTTAGCTGAGAGTATTCATTCTGGGTTTAATGCTTCTCCTGTAGAGTCTTTTGACTGAAATTTATAGATCAGCTTTCCAGGACTATTACTTTCAGCAGACTGAACAGACACAGATGATGGTAATAGGTACTCTTCAGGTAAAGGGTTCACCATTAGGTGACGGTTCACTGCTCAAAACTTGCGGTGCATGAACAAAATATCACCAGCATAATCTTTGAAGGACATAGAGGAACAAAAATTGAATAAAAATGGAAGGTGGAATTGTTTAATTAACATGCACATCAGTGACATATATTTTTAATTTATTTCGAAATAATTTTTATCCAAGGTCTTCAAAGAAATAATGAACCAATTATTTTTACCTCTTTTGAGACAAATACGTTTCTTTGATAATTTCTCTCTTCTCTTTGGGTTCAGTCTTTGCGTATGCTTTAAAAAAGGTGAAGTATAGTTTGTCCTTTTTTTTTTTTTTAAATATATATATTTATTAAAAAGATACCCCAGGATAGTCAGACAGCATTCAAGTGAGTAATCAGTCTTGTTGTCACTTCTGCCTCCTAATAGTGGGTGTTGCTACTGAGTGCTGTGGGAATTGTTTAAATTTACCATCCTCGGGGAAGGTACCCTAGTTTACATTTTGGTGAAACCCATCATTCTGATTTGGCATCCTTCTGCATTCCAATTCTGTCCTGCAAGGAGTGAAAGCACATGCATGAGATTAAAAAAAAAAAAAAAAAAAAAGGGGTGTGTGTGGAAAAAAGGGCAAACAGAACTGAGTATTTGCTTAATTTACTCTACAGTCTTTTTTACAAGGGAAATACATTTTATGCTTCCTTTTCGTAAGTAGATTTTTCCTTTAGCCAGAAGTATTAAAAGTCACTGGAACTGGCATTGCTGGCCACAGAGTTTACAGCGCAGGCTGGTTACATGGGTGGATGCTGAGAGCTGGTGACAGGAAGCGCGGTGGATGAAATATTGCCTCTGCTAAGCATGGTGTGCAACCTTTCTGCTTCAAATTACTGTGGTACCAGACAAATGTAGCTGCCACCACACAATCCACCGTTCTTGTTGTGGTGATGTTTTTGAGTCTAGAGGGCATATAGGACCTGTCGTCCATTAAATCTGGCATCTGTGCCAGGAAGTGGCAGAACTGTTGTTGAACGTGGGGGTGAATGTGGTAGTCTGGGGAAGAGTCAAAGTGGCGTCTGGAAAAGGAAATCTTGCTTCTGAAGTCTCTTGGAGTTTCCTTCTGAAATCAGTGACAAGGATGAGGGAGACTAATGAATGCATTCACACCTGGAATTGCAAAAGGCCACACATGCATGGCTTGTAGAGAAATCGTGCAGCCACATGCTAAGATGATGTTATCACAGGGGTGATATGGCAAAAGTTACAAAGCAGCTTAGAATTAAACTGGGTTAGTTGTACTGTGGGGAGGTCACCGGTAGAGTTATGGACTGCTGGGAAAGGCATGCAGAGGAGAACAAGGAGGATAACCAAAGCTGTGCAGTAGTTTCTCTACAGCAATCCACAGTGTAGGTTACAGGCTGGACAACAGCCAGCTGAGGAGAGCCATCATGGGGATCTCCAGGATCCTGAATGGTGTGGAAAGTGCTTGTGGCTGGGAGAGACAAGGCGTGGTTGTTCTCCATCCACTGATCAGTGTCAAATGCAGTCAGCAAGTTGTAGTTCAGACTAGGCAGAAGTGTTCTCCACGCAATAGATGGTGAAGCTGCAAGTGTGTGACACCCATAATGCCCAGTTGCAGCAGGTCTGTGTGGATTAAAAAGCAGCTGGATAACCTGGGACGAACACCTGCCCCACCACCCAATACAAAGGTGTTCGTTCTGGCTCCAAGTGTTCCTCAGCCAGAAGGAGCTGCTGCTTGGAAAATACTGTGCTTTATGGCTGCCTTGGTGTTCCTTTGGCATCCAATGTTAGAGACAGGATGCTGGGCAAGGTGGATTTTGGGGCCGATCTAGTATAGCTGTTCCTTCCTCTTAAGTGCTTCTTCCTCCATCATCCTAAAATGCAGTTGTTCAGTAATGGAATAGTCTATGAAGCTTGCTGTTGAAAGCCCAGGAGCTGGTGCTGTAGGAAGCATTAGATAAAAGTGGTGCAATGGACTCCTTTCCAGTCTTCTGCTTTTTGTGACTGGAGGAGAGCATGTCTCAGGAGCCTGAAGTGGTAGGAAGAGCATGTATGTGCCTGAGCACTACTTCATGGCAAATTCAGAATTTGCTCTTGTGACACATGAGCAAATACCCTGCACAGATGTTTGTTTTCCAACTCTGCGATTTAAGAGTAGGGAGAGTTGTCTTACTGGGAACCTGTGTATTTGTCAAAAGATGCCATCAGCCAAGCTGGCATGGATTCATCCACTCTAATTTAGGAATGCCTCTGATATGACGGCAGGGAAGAGAGGGAAAGCTTAATTCTCCTCAGTAAGGACCTTGATCTGACGAAGCTGTCCAGGATCAGAGGTTATTTAACAATGGGATGTGGAGTATAAGAAAAGACTGTTTCTGATGCTTTTTTTTGTGTGTATGTATATCCATGTATAACTGTGTGTTGTATATTCACATGTGCATACATACATATTTGTATACACACACAGCCACGCACGTATCCTTGTTTTTTGGCTCCATGATTCCAGTGGAATCTGGGATTCCTGGGAGGCAAGCGATGAATTCACCCGTTCTGGTTATAGGAAACTTGGTCCTTGAACGGAACTTTATTTACGCCATGGGGATTAGCAGCGAGTATTACCTAGTCCAGGAAGGATGAATGTAAATCCAAAACCCGAGCCTCTCAACTCACTTTACAAGTAATACAAACTGTCTAACTAAGTAGACAGATCTTTGAGTGATAAACGGGATTTTGTTTAGTTCTTGTTGTTCTTAAAGAAGAATGAAAATACTTTCAGCTGATGTGTAGGAGTGAATGGTCTGTCTCAAACCCCCTCTTTTTCAGGGAGAAATTACGGTTCTTCTAGTTATAGAAGAAATCTGTATGGGAACAGACTTTTCTATACTTAGTTACCAAAAGCAACTCGCCAGTAACATCCGAGACCCATCTTAATTGCAGTTCGTCTCTGCTCACTGTGTCTTATTACTCTGATGATAAAATACAGAATAATTATGCCACTGATTTAGTTTCATACCAAACTAATACACCAATAATATACTTGCCACGTTTAAGTCATCGTCGGTGGCAGTGTGGTAACCACATTGAATTAAATCTGCCTTCTTTTCTAGTAGAACTCTCTCTGTGCTACTGAAAGGATGAGGGCGTAGAAGGTAGGAGGTAGTCAGAGCCTGAAATACCCTGTGGGCTCACCATTCACTGAGGCAATGTAATCCTGGGAAATTGCTGTTGTAATTATTCTCTTAGGTCTGAGTATATATAAAACACTTCTATCACCAGTCTGCTTTTAAAAAATCTGCTTGAATTTTTAAGGATTAATGTAGATTTAGCAAATGGTTTCTGGAAATCCATACAGAAATAGACTGAAGAGATCAAGAGAGCTTACACGGACTCCTAGCACAACAGATAAAGAATCAGGAGTGCAAAAGGGCTGTTTCTAATACATAAGCAATTTTCTAAAGAACAATATTCTGTATGGTGGTTATTCAGGACCCATAGCTTCTGGGATGTACACAGCCACGATAGTCTTTTTGGAGAGTCTATCATAAGAATGTGTGTAATCTCTCTTATTTTTAACGGCTAGAACATGCTTTTGAAGTTTGTAATTTTCTTTGGATTTATATAATTCTTCCCCAGCCCACATCTTGTTTTACTGAGGAGAGGGGCCAGGCTTTGTACGTTGTATGTGAAGCACGTCACTGTCCTGTTGCTCAGTGTCTTTTAACACTGGCCACAGCTGCTCTCGGATCCCCTCCCTCTGGGAAAATTTCAATTCCCAGCACAGCCTTCTGAGACAAAATACCTATCAGTATGCAGAGAGTCAGCTCTGCTCAAAAGGAATGACAGTGGACCGGGGGGGAGAGAGAAGAAATCCTGATGTGAAAAGATGCCTATGTGTGTTTTGGTTTTGTTTTTTAAACCAAACAATGTTACATCTTCTAGTTTCGAAAAGGCTTTAAGGAAAAGCAAGCACTGCCTCGCACCCTGCTCTACTTGTCATAGCACGATGTTACTAAATTAGCAAGAGAAATCAGTCTGCTTACTCATAACTGGTACAGCAGAAGTCTAGAAGAGTACCTCTGTTTAAAATATGTTTTTACATGGTGGAGAAAAAAAAACGATGGTCTGGAACTAGCTGAAC